GCAAATTTTATGGAGAAAAGTAAATTGGGCAAGCAGTATTAATCATAGTGATGGCAAGTCAGGAAGGACAGAACAGAAACATTAGAAAATCCAGTAAAATACACTTACAGTTTTTGACACCATCTTTTGCATATATTATGAGCCCTTAAATCTACTTGTTTAAATTTTATACTGTTGCTTCCATTCCTCTTCTCCCATACTGCCTATCTTGTTAGTATTTCTGCTTTTACCATCTCACTCCCTCCAACCCAATTCCAGTCCGTTACTTCCCACTTGTTTCCTGTGCTAGAGCCTAAACACATGGGCCCATGTCCTGAGCTGTGATAAAGAAGCACTCGACAGTGCTTAGGAGGGACAAAGCAAAGGCCATCTTTGTGCTTCCCTGATTTTGGACAAATCTGTGCTGTTCTCTAGAGCAATTTAGAGCAACTTTAAGGCTACTCTAAGACTCATTTACACAGAGACATTCAGGAAAATTAATCCAAATTAACTAACTGTGTGAATTTCAAGTAGATAAGTTAAACAGCGTTAAACCATGGTGTGGATGCTCTTATTCAAAATTAAAGTGGCCTTAATTTGGTTTAGCTTTCTCCAGTTTGGAAGTGAATTAAGGTAAATTTAATTGATGACACTTTAATTCTGAGTAAGGGCATACACACGTGGGTTTAATGTGGTTTAATTTTCCTGAGTGTCCTTGTGTAGACAAGCCCTAAATGGATACCTGTGGCCCCAAAGGGCTTTTCTGCCACTCTGGGATCACTAAGGGCTTGTCTACACTTGAAACACTTCACCAGCATAGTTGTAGCGCTGCAGCTGTGCCACTGTAGCATTTCATTGGAGACAGGAAGGGTTTCCCCATTGTCACAGGTAATACACCTCCCGAAGAGGCAGTAACTTGATCAGTGGAAGAATTCTTCCATCAATCTAGCACAGTCTACATGGAGACTTAGGTCAGCTTAACTACGTCCATCAGGAGTGTGGATTTTTCACACCCTTGAGTGATGTAGCTGGGTTAATCTAATATTCTAGTGTAGAACACCCCTAAGTTGGACCACTCACTCCACTGGCTGCAGGGATGGGGTTAGTATAGGAGCAGCTATAACAGGTCAATGCAACCTGAGAATCCCCCATGTAGGGGAGAGAGATTTCCAGAACTGACCCTCAGATTTAGGGCAATTTTAGGGTATAGATGCAAAGCCGAACTAATCCAAAGATACAGCCCATGCTGTTGCATCATTCTTTGCTTAAATTTATGACCACTAGCAACAGATATTTTGAAAAACGAATGTATGTGCACAAAAGAAACGATTGCTTTCACGTTGGAGTGGGCAGGTCTCTTGTCATATCGTTGGAGGAATATTTTATTGTATCTTATCATATTATTAATACTCACACATATTTTTTCAGTCCCCAATTGATCTATCTCAGTTTCCCTTAACTCCCTTGACCCTCACCTCTGCACTGAAATAAAAATTCCTGTTCCTTGGTTCTGGAAGACATTTGTCTTTTCTGAATGAGTGAAATCTTTCTTTTCTATGCAGAATGGATTTGTTGCCCTATAACAATGCTATCTGGACTGCTTTGTGTATTATGACTATTATTTATTTAGTTCCTGCAATGTCCTTTGCCCTATACAGAACAAAACCAACATATCCCTGCCCTGATGGGCTTATAGCTTAAGTCAGAATTCATTCCCCATGTTCATTCAGTCCTACTGCTCGCTCTACCAAATACATAGACTGCTCCCTACTGAGACCCCAGTCCATCCTTAAAGGGACTTCTATACAAATAGCAATTTACTGATCTTCAGAACATCCCTTTGAAGAAAATATTTTTTTCAGAAACAAAAAATGAAACTTAGTTCAGTATTTTGCCCAAGGATAAACAAATCAGTCAGTGAAAGAGACAAGATTAGAACTCTGAAGTTCCTTACTCTAAGTCGCGTGCTCAGTCTTCTCACTACTCTGACTGAAGTGGAGGTAGAGGATTATCATATTTCCATGCTTACATTGTCCTGATCTGCTTAAAGTTCTGCACTGTGAATTCTCATAAGGTAGATTCTAAAACTTCTTAATTGGGTCGGTTGTGTTTACAGTTTGCAGGCAGTTTGAAATGCATATGGGTGCCTCTGGGTACGTACGTTGTGAGCACAAATCCTATTTATGTGTAGTACCTGCCCAAGTGTGACACCCAAATGGCTGGGTACCAGGAGTTTCTTCTTTGAATTACGTGACACTGCTGTGCCACCGTCTTTTCTTTTCTCTTCTAATGTAGCTCTTTGATGCTATATTTTACTCTGTTGCTTTGTATTCTGTGAAGACTGAAAAAGGAAATTTATCCGTGATCTTAGTAAATTTCACTTTGCAGCCTGTGGCTCATGGGAAACACAATTATTTCTTTAAGTTAAAGTATGGAGTGGGCAACCAAAGTCAACACTAGAAGCGGCAACAGTTTTAAAGTATAGAGTGTAGAGATTGCAAGCTCTTTAGGACAGGGACTGTTATTACATGTGTGCATATAACACCTAACATAATGGTCTCCTGATCCTCATGCAGATCCATTAGGCACTATTTATAATATAAATAATATTTAAAAAAAAACACTAGGCAAATACTTAGGGACAAATCCTCATCTCATAAACCAAACACAATTTAAAGGGCTTCACTAACACTTAGCATAGGGTGCTGGGAGTTGGGGGCAGAATTTCCACCCAAGGCCTGCTATATAGCTGGGCGGTGGAGAAGATTACCTCATACTGGCAGAAGTAGGAGATGCAAGCAAGTTTGGGGCTTGTACTGTTCCTTATCTCACCCTTAATCCCACCTCAATGCTTCTGTACGAAAATGAGCTCTATTAATTTCAACACTTCCACACTGTGTGAACACAGCATTTCCAGTTTATTTTGGACCTTGCACATCTGCAGTGTGTTCTGAAGGATTTGACTGTCTCAATAAAACACTGCAGGATACAAAAATCAGGCAGATGGTTGACATTTACTGTATTTCTATTTTCTCCTTGTGACTGTAGCTTTGACACTTGATAGTAGTTGACATTAACTGTATTTCTCCCCCTCCCCCAATTCTGTCTGTAACTTTGAAGAACTTCCAGTATGGAAACTCATAGTGAGCTCATTGCATTATCTGAAGTCATTCATTCACAGGACAACTTCATTATAAGAAGAGAGTTTAGAAAAATATATTCTTATACAGAGAGAGAGAAAAACTAGAACCTGCTCTTCATCCTGTTTTCTGCACTGGTTCTATGTGAGGGAGGAGCCTTCTTCAGGGTTGTTCAGTCAGCATGTAGGCATTATTAAAACTAATTTATGGTATAGATATGGGTTTATCTGGAAGCAGGAGGTTACACCTTGTTTTTATTTATTATGGACAAGATTTCTCTCTGGCAATGAAAGTATAGTCATGTCAAGGCACTATTGAAATGCATTTTTAAGTTCCTCTCTTTAATCTACATTACCTTAAAAGTAGATCTGTTCTTCAAAACAATTTTCCTACAGTAAAGAACTGAATAAGAAAATTTTCTTACCATTGCCTATTTTGGCAAAAGTTGTGCAAAAAATTTGATGGGTTTCACAGAGAGATTGTTTGGTATTTTTATTTAAAACAAAACCAACAAACAATCTCAGTAGTTTCACAAGGTTTGGGTTTTTTTTTTTAATTGGGACACAGATTTTGCCTAAAACTAACCTGCCAGGCTAGACATTTGAGGATTTCCCCCCAACATACAAGAATATCGAGGGTGGCAATAAGATGTCAGTGGCACCTACACCAGCCACCCCACCTGATTGTAGGCAGACAAGGCTAGAAAAAAGGGCCACATCCATGGATCCCTTATGCTAGTGAGTTCAGACTTCTGGAACTGCTCCTTGGGATTAGAGAGACAAGCCTTCAGGATGCACTAATTTATGCCAGGGAGCCAGGAGGCTGCAGGATCAGGAAGTGCAAAAGTCACCTCTGTACCCTTCCTCCTGAGCTGTACTGAGCACTTCTTAGCCTCAGCTCAGGTTCTGGGCTTAGCCTGAGGTAAATGAAGTCTGTTTTCACATGACAACTACACATTTTAACAGAGAGCTGCAGAGCAATAACACTATGATTACCATATTCCTTGCTACTGCCAGGGTCTTAAGTACTTTTTTCATAAATTTCTTTTGTATGATAAGTGTCTTTCACTTTAAGTGGAAGGAAACCAGGGCTTTGCAGGAATCCTTAATAACATGAAATATAATAGTAATGGCTACTCAGCTTGATACCTAAAATGGGGTCGCACTTACAGAAGTGATGGAAAAAAGTTACCAGCCCCAACTGCAGATTCAAAAATGAATATAGCTAAGATCATGAGCTGGGATTTGAAAAGATAGCTATACTTAAGCAAAAGTGGGTATGCAGTGGTTATGGTGAGGGCAGATGGTTTGCTCCCTGCAGAGCAGATGGCCACCAAGTCATCTAAGTCTCAAGAGCATCCTGTCTAAACGTCTTGTCAAATATTACAGCTACAAGAAATAGCTATTTTCCAGAGTCCCAAAGAGTTTGCACTTTCTTGATATTTCATCTCCAGTTACAGCATTAAATGAATCATGAAAATAAACATATCTCCAATAGTAAACAGGGTAATCTCATAAGATCCTAGATTCTTATAATCCTACTGTAAACAGTGAAATTCAGTTTGCAAAAGAATGGAAGTTCTGAATTGGTCAATGTATTGCTATGTGCCAGTTGAAATTCCAGTTTCCTGGGGGAGGCCTGTGTCATCTTTGTGGCAAGGATATATGCCTAGTGGATAAAAATGCATTCTATTCCACTGATTTCTTGGCTGTTTGCTTCCATTCATTCTTTTCAGGTAGCAGGTTCTCTGTGTTTTCAGAAGTAGGATGGCAATTTGTGTGCTGTTTTTTAGGCTTCTCCATAAGCACAAGGTAAACCAGAATTAGACTGTTACATGCGGTTTGTGAACACTCACTGCTATTTTTCTTTTTCAATGTGTAGATGAGGGGGCTTCCTTTCACCCATGTGATGATACGTACTGTGGTCCCTTTCCCGAGTCTGAGCCTGAAGTAAAGGCTGTAGCTCACTTTCTTCGCAAACGCCGGAAACAAATAAAAGCCTATCTGTCTTTTCATGCATATGCTCAGATGTTGCTCTATCCATACTCTTACAAGTATGCAACAATTCCAAATTTCAGCTGTGTGGTAAGTGCAATAGTTCTTGGAGATTACATCCCTTCTATGCTATTTCTGTTATTGTTTAGAGAGCAGACATGGTTCTCTAATATGTCATATTTAGCGATATTTATTTCAGCTCTATTTGCAGTCTTATACTGGTTATGTAACCTTTACTCTAATTGAATTAATGGTTACTCACTTAGAATGGGATAGTTTCTTCCATCAATCTCTATCAAGTAATTTATAGGCTAATCAGTGGAGTTTTAATTAGTGTTATCATAAATTATTAAATATTAATGGAAGCTGTTACTAAATCCCCATGCACCTAGCTGAAAGTCTATCTCTATATGTTTGAAAGAACTGAAGAGGTATAAATACTTGACAGAAAAAAGATTTGATATTTTAAAGTTTGAACTTATTAACAATATAGAAACCTATCAACTATTAAATTTCTTCCAGAAATAAAGCTTCTAACCCCTAATATTGCAGCTCACTGAGCTAATATTGTTACCTTCTTTGATCTGAGCAATCTGCCAATATTTAAGGTCTTGTGGGTTGTTTCCTTTAGGAGAAATTGATGATGGAGTCAGAGGTTTTTCATGCAATCCTGTTTCTTTACAAAGCTTTTATAAAAGTCCAGTTTCCCAGACTTCGTATAAAATTAAACAGGGGACAGTTTCTTTGCTTACTGTACCAAGCCTCTTTTCAGCCAGCACTTTGCCCAAAGATCTCTCCCTCTTGATTTTCTCTCAAGGCCGTATTACTGGTGCTTGTCTTGAGATCTGCTTCTGTCCACAGACACAAACCCCTCCACCAAATAATACCCACCTGCTGCATTTGCATTTAGTACCCCACAACACCCCCTGCACCCACATAGCTCAGCTTCTGACCAGCCTTTCCCGATGCCTCTTTTTTGGATTGTGGCTCCTATTATTTCAGCTATCTTACTCCAAAAAGGAGCTTAACAGCTCCTAACTTTTATCCTGAACATAGGGCGCTATCATACTCACCAGCTTCACTTAGGTTTTACCCCTCCTCCATCATAATACAGTACAAACTGAATTCTCTTAGTTGCATGGATCTGGAGTATGGACTGAGGGGCTCAGCAGCATTTATTTGGGGGGGGGGCATTAGGACAATTAAAAGATCTTTCCTGACACTATTTCTGTTAAGACTTAATTGCTCCAACTCCTGAAAATTTCCTGTGTCTGATGTCATGCTTGGGAAGTGGAGCAAACTATCAGTGATTCAAGATGCCAGAACAGCTAAAAATTAGAATTATAAGAAGTTGCAGCATGACCAAACATTTAATTTGCAATGCTTCAAGATGTATTGATTTTCAATATTTAAAATATCTATCATAATCAAATATGGTAAGATTTCAGCTCACTTGAACTTTTGTGAAGAGCTGTACTGAGGTGGAAAGCAGAATTATAATGAAGCTTCCATCCCATTTATCTCTCTCCTGTGGTTGACTGAAAGCGCTTTATTGGTCCAGATGGATTTCATGTGTTGAGGTTGGCCAGCAAGTGAAAGCTGTTCCAGGGGCCTCCACATGCATGAGGGGTTAGGAACATTTAGTGTAAATAGGGTCCTTAATTATTCCTGAGCAGAAAGCAAAGATGCTTCTGTCCAATTCACTACACACTAGTGTGCTGTTTCAGTTAAAGTGGTAAATTATTCAGTGATGCTTTGAAACTGAAGTGCAGTATATTGGTAACAACGTGTATAAATATTCGGCTCCAAATTAGACAACTCCCTTATTAAGTTTCAATTGAAACCTGTTATGTTAAGATCTTTAAAGGGAAGTTGGACTTCAGTTATTGTTTGGTAAATGTCTGCACCAGTTATTTCAATCTGTAGGGTTTTTTTAAAGTTTAATTTACTAGTAATATTTTTTTCTATACAATCCTTTGTTTCAGTATTCGCAGCTCCCTTTGCTGAAATCTGCTAATATTGCAAGTTCTCAGGGCCTGCTCTTGAAAGACGCTGGGAATTTTGATTGCTCAGTATCATTCAGGATCAGACCTATATAGCATATGAAGCATTTCAAAATTGTTCCCTTCCTTCTCTATGTGTGACACAAACAGATGGAGTGAACACATTGCTGGTAGCCTGAGAACTGTGCACTCACTACATCCAGGTGTTTGTTTCCCTTATATTGGAAGCATATTATGGTCATTTACCATGGACCTTCACTCAGTTGCCACATCTGAACAGGAATCAGTACAATATTATCCTACTTTTAAAATAATATTGCAATAGAATTTCTCCATAATGTTTTCAACAGTTTTTTTTTGGGGGGGGGGGCATTATTTGATATACGGGTCCTTGTAACCTTGAAATTGAATATCAATTATCAATATTTTCTCCCTTACAACCCCACACCAGGATGTATGTCATGGAAGATTATTCCTCAGTGGTAGGTCACCCATGTGAAACCACAGCATTTTTCCACTCCCCTACATGTATTTCAGATGGTGGATTGCAAGCACATATCAGAGGAGAAATAGGCCCAAGTGGCACCCCCACCCTCTTTCACAGATCTCAAAGAATGGCATGTAGCTGGAGGGGTCTCTGTATTTTGGGGTAAGTGGTTGGGCAGGAGCAGAGCTGGGAAATGGCCAGTCTGCACAGGATCACTCCCACCTCCAAACCTGTTGAATTTCCCACAGGAGCTCATTATAGCATTAACTTCATTTCCTAGCTCCATGCATTCTCTCCCCCTTATGGGACTGGGAGAGAAACGAGCACAGACTGGGAACCTCTTGCAGCACAGTTCTTCCACTACAAACCAACAGAGGCAACTATAAACCAAAAAAGACCACTTGCAGGATTCTAAGTTAGTGTACTGGAATTTCTTCTAGGATAAAAAGTAGTTTCTGCTCCAGTGAAAGGCAACATATAGGCTGAACTGCATGCCCAGTCCAAAACAAATTTTCTATAACCTATTGTTGGACACACACACACAAAAAAATGTAACACTGGAACCCATATGGGGTATCATTAAACAATTACAACCCATGGTCTTTGAAGAACACACCCTGAAAGAAATCTTCCCATTTTCTGGCCTTCAAAAACTCCCCACAGTCCAAGATCCACAAACACAAAGCAGTACCAGACCTTGCTATAACAGATGCAAAAACCTGCAGACATCTCCATTGATACAATAATCAACACACCCTTCAAGATCCATGGGCCCTACACATACCTATCACAACATGTGGCATATCTCATCCAGTGCACTAAATACCCCAATAACAAATATGTGGGTGAAACCAGACAATCACTATACTCTCAAATGAACTCACAACATGATAAAAGACAAAAACAACCTATCATCCATGTGTAAACACTTTTCACAAAACAGTCACTCCATATGTGACCTCTCAGTCCTCGTCCTCAAAGGAAACCAGCACAACACCTTCAAAAGATGAGTCCCGAAGCTTCAATTCATAACTTTGGTAGACACTAAAAATCATGTAACTAATAAAGACACTGGATTTATGGTTTATTACAACAATCCATAATCCACTAACCCTACTTTTTTGTCCTCTGAATGCAGAGGTGTTACCTGGCCACATTACCTTGAATGGTCTTCTAATGTGTGTTAACTACTTATGCTAAACAATTTGTTCCACCTTGTATTTAGCTGTGAGACACTGAGTACCTTTCCCAGACCTGAAGAGCAGCTCAAAAGCTTGCCTCTTTCACCAACAGAAGTTGGTCTAATAAAATATATTACCTCACTCACCTTGTCTCCTTGATATTTTGGGACCAACATGGCTACAACAACACTGCTGCAAACAAAAATCATTTTGCTGTGAAAAATGTGTTTATCCATTAAATTGTAGAATCATAAAAATGTACGGCTGGAAGGGCCCCAAGAGGTCATCCAGTCAACCCCCCTTCGTAGAGGCAGGACCAAATTAGCCTTGACCATCCCTGACAGGTGTTTGTCTAACCTGTAACCATCTCATAGCCACCTGTAACCACCTTGTAGTCTTATGACTGCTTGTCATTTAGAGCCACATAGGCCACTTGGGAGCTTCCCCAATCAAAGTGGAGGGAGGCTAGCCACAGTGCCCAACTTTCTGTTCCAGCCTGCACCCTCTCAAAGGTGCCCAGGAGTGCACGTGGGCTGTCCATGGGACCCATTTTATACAGACCCAGTCCCTGTGCCTGATTGCTCTCATATAAAGTCCTGCAGACTCTTTTCCAGCTCTTCCTGCCAGGTGAGCAACACCTGCCTCTCCAGATGGTGTGACTGCTGGAAACTTTGCAGGTTTTCTGCATCTTCTGTTGCTGTCTCATCACCATTGCTAGCAGGGGTGTTGAAACAATTTATATAGTGGGGGTGCTGTGAGCCATTGAACCAAACCCTAAACCATGTATAGAATGGAAACTACTTTGAGTCAGGGGGTGCTGCAGCACCCCCCACACTCCTAGTTCCAGCACCTATGATTGCCAGGTCTCCTACATTGTCTAAGCCATCTAACCCTTGCACCAGTTCAGATGCCAGACAAGTCTGCAGTGTAACAGCATGTCATCCCACTCCGGTCTGTTTTCTAGTCACAGCCTGCTCAGAGACCTTCTGGGCAAATACCTTGTGCACTTTATTTACAGTGTTCCCACCACCATTACAAACTTGCGCAGCTCAGTATTTACAAGTATATAATCCTTAGCTCCCTCAGGCAAGGAGTGGAGAGACAGAAGGGCACTCCCCCTGAGGCTCTTTCCTGTCTGATTCTCAAAAGCTTTCCAGTATCTCTTTTCCCCACAAGCACTACTTTCCTGTGCCTTTTATACTTTTTGGGCTCGTGGGTTAATTAGTCTTATAGCCCTTTATACTCCACCCAGAATCTATCAATTAGGCACACCTTTTCCCCTCCCATTTACTCCAGGACAATTTAATGGATGATCCAGTGATCAGAGTTATAGTACAGCTGCTGTTGCCCAGCACTCTGCTACACATACCGTCCCCTCCATCATCCAAGTCATTAATGAAAATATTGAGTAGGCACCAGACCCAGGAGAGACTCCCCCGGTACCCCTCCTCCCCATATGACAGTGAACCACTGATAACTATTCTTTCAGTGCACATTTTCCACCAATCATGCACCCACTTTATAGCAATTTCATCTAGAAACCATTCCCTAGTTTGCTTAGGATGTCCCATTGGACTGTGTCAAAAGCTTTACTAAAATCAAGATGATCACATCTACTGCTTTCCCCCCCGCCCCCCATCCATTAGGCCAAAAATCTCAACAAAGAAGGAGAGGAGGTTGGTTTGGCATCATATTGACAAATCCATGTAGGCAATTTCTTATCACCTTATTATCCTCTAGATGCTTATAAATTAACTGTTTAACAATTTGTTCAAGTATCTTTCCAGGTATCGAAGTTAGGCTGACTGGTCTATAATTCCCTGGGTCCTCTTTGTTCCCCTTTTTAAAGATAGGCAAATATAACACCTTTCTCCAGTCCTCTGGGACTTCATGAGTCCTCCATAAGTTCTTGAAGATAATGGTTCCGAGATTGCTTCAGCTAATTCCTTAAATACCCTAGGATGAATTTCAGCAGGCCCTGCCAACTTGAATACATCTAAACTTATCTAAATATTCATTATCAAGTTCTTTCCCTATTAAAGCTTGTGTTCCTTCCCCCTTGTTGTTAATATTAATTGTGTTATGCATCTGCTCACACTTAATTTTTGTATAGAAGACTAATGCCTATTTTGCTTCAAACACCTCAGCCTTCTTGGTGTCATCTATTATTACCCTGTTTCCCCGAAAATAAGACATCCTCTGAAAATAAGGCCTACTTACAGTTTTGCCTCTCGTTGTAATATAAGGCACCCCCCCGATAATAAGCCCTCCCCGATAATAAGGCATCCACCGATAATAAG